AGAACATGGTTTCAAAAGGTGCTTTATGCGAATATATTATTTTATCTTCCACTAATATTTACTCTTTAGGTATGAACCTACGATGGGACTTTTTTGTGAACGCGTATGACACTTCCCGATATCTACCTGGAACGGGCTTGGATGGGAGAGAAAATAGACATATCGCTTTTGTCAGCCAATTTGCATCGGTCGTTTCAGTTCTTCAAGTGTGTGTTATATATCCCCGTATTCTGTTTACTAAGTTTGCCTTATAGGACAAGTCTAACTCCCTGGTCAATTCTTACAAAGAGATTAGTCGAGTGATAGAGGACCTCTCTACCTGTCCTTATACCTATGAGGCTTTTGCTGAGCTTATAGGGAAGATTCAAGCCGCAGTATGCACATTTATCAAATTATAGTGTATTTGAGGGCTGCTAAACTGACAAATTTTCAGATTGACCGCCTCAATCTTGAGGGCTATGCCAATTTAGAGAATTGGGTGGCCCGGCTCGATGAACGTATATCCGATATTCTAGCCCAGCGCCTTACCCACATCCTACAAATATGGTGTACCGAATTCGACAGGACAGACGATGGAGAACACAGGAGAGAACCTGTCCCACGCGATAATACTAACAAGAGGAAATATTAGTGGAAGATAAAATAATATATTCGCATAAAGCACCTTTTGAAACCATGTTCTGAGCATCGTTCCTGTACTCGGCTACAAGCATCTCTATGACTTGATTCTCTTCAACCAAATGGAGTGTTTGGCCATAGGTCCTCACTGTCTCCATCAAGCTTACTGCATGAGGATATACCCGCTTAGCCTCTTTCGCCATATTATTAATGGCGTGTGGAACTTGGAATCCTAGCCACAGGAGGTTCCTGACTTCCTTAAATAGTGTTATAATTTGAGGGTCGAAGTTGACAGCTAATTGATACCCTCCACCACGTAATTTGACAATCTCGAAGAGTCGGCCAGAAATACCCATATCTCGACGGTTGATATCGTGCAGCCATGCCTCGAATACTGGGCGCGTATCGAGCTTTTTGCGGAAAGCCAAAGATTCTGTCTGGAGCTTCTGACCGTCGGCATAGTGCTCCCAACCTTTACCCAAAACATCTTCTACTCTCTTCATGTATGTTGAGAGCTGTCTTTCTATCTGTTTGGCCCATATGATGGCCCCTGCGATTGGGGGAAGGTCGCGCATTTGGGACATATGATATGCTTCTGAATAGCGGTACTGAGTCTTGAACTTATGGTGAAGATGCTTTATATCCTCCTTAACGGACTCAATCAGTTGAGTTTGGTATTCTTGGATTGCACCTCGAATCTAGTGAAAGACAAAGGGTACGACATCAGCAATTACAGTGTAAATCAAGTAAGCCACTGACCTTAGGGCGAACAAACAGTGCATTGAATTTAGAGAAAACACGGAACATCTCGTTTGCGTTACGAGCTGTACCCAATCGGTCGCGAAGACGAGCAATGATCTGGTTCTCTACTCTCGCGATACGTTCATTATAGGCATTTTCTGCTGTCACCCAGATTTCGGTACCCTCTGCACAAAGGTATCAGTCACAGAAGCGATATTTGATTGATCAAACGTACCTGCCGTAACATCAAGAATATCGATGTTTTTGATGATTTCATACGCTTCTTTGACCTCTTCTTCCATGTCCACGCCTCCGACGTGTTCCCTACCCCATTCGTCGCGCTCTACCGCTGGTCGAAGCTATTTCGCGGGACTTCAATGATACCATTCTACGAGTACTCACTAGTCACCGACTGATCTACCAACCATATGAAACCTTTGAAAAGTTGATGAACACTACCATGAACGTTTTTAGAGCCTGGGACGACTACATTAAAGACTTCACGAATGTTGCACGTGAAGTCACCCGAAAGAGGAGCGAGAAGTTCATTCCCATCAAGATAAACCCGGCCCACGCAAAACTGGTCGAGAGAGCACGCTATCTCAGGGATTGGAGAAGGCAACATGAGCAATTAGCCGTTAGCACTGCCCCCACAAAAGGATTGGGTCTGAGTGGTGCTGGTAGCATAGCTGGGGCTGGAATAGGGAACGAGCTTGGTGGCGTGGACATGGAAGAAGAGGTCAAAGAAGCGTATGAAATCAT